CGATAAAGGCTAGGCAACGCTATTGCAACTGCTGATGTCTGGGCAGCGGTCGCTTTCCATTTCGGCTATTTCTGGTGACCGCTTGTTCGTTTACCAAGTTGTAATATAAAAAAAGCAGCGCAGTCGTAGCTGGGGTTGTTGTTTTACATTTCTCTCTAAGATTTTCTAGTATTAAGGTGTACCGTGAGTTAATTCTGGTAATCCTAAATTCAGTATAGTTGTTAGAAGCCACTTTCCTTTTTTATTAGTTGTGGAAAATGGATATATGTTTTCAGATGCCAGAGTTACACGCGGTGTGTGAGTCAACTTCGGTTAGTATTGTTTTTAATGTTTCGGACAATGTCTTATTATGGCTGATATATAATGCCTCCCAATTATTTTCTTTAGCTGGATTGCAAAGAACAAATTCCGGATAAAAGACTATCTAATGTGGAAGATGTGAAATGTCCTAACACACCAAAAAATTCTGACGACTCCGGGTATATGGAGGCTATATTATTAGAAGAACATAAGGTATTGTGAATTTTAGTTACGAAATTAAAGGTTTATGAGTTACATATAGTTGACAAAGATACTCTCTACATAGCATTCTTTAATGTTTTTAATAAATTTCAGAGTCCACGGAAAGAAGTCAGTAATGAATTAAAAGATAAAATAGTAGAACTACAAACGCAATTAAATCTATTGAAACGACTTGCTGTAAGTAATAATAAGCATTATTAATGCAACTTCCCATCTTACTATCTTACTTCTTACTAATATTATAAATGTGAAAGTTTAGATGGATGGATGTTTGTTAGAGTTTGTAGCCAAAACGGCTGAACGGATCTCGATGAAATTTGTCATAGATCTAGAGCATAGTCTGGAATAACACATAGGCTACATGCTTTTTTTTTAATTTCACGCGGACGGCTTCGCGGGCGACAGCTAGTAGTAAATAATAACAAAACAGTAATCAAAGAACTGTTACACAGGCAGTAGAAGTAGATTCAGAAAAAAAGCTACCTAACTTTGAGTCATACGACCTCGCTATAGAAGAAGACCAAGTGTCAATGCTGAAGAATATCAACGATTACAACAATCTAATGAAGGACCCGCCACTTAATTTAGAGGTAAATATTGAAAAAACAAAACCAACAGTGGTAGAGTCCGCTTTAACATCTTAGCACTGCAGGGCCGGCTCGCCCACCGCAATACCACGACCACACAGAAAACAGGCGTGAAGTGGAAGCAATTCCGCGTACAGTCTGATGAGTGTGGTGTCGGAGGCCTATTTTTGGTCGCTTTCGCTTTCTACCCTTTTTTCAGAGGAAAGGATAGGAAGGAAAAGTGGATTAGACGGCGGAGAAGACGCATAGGAAGGGGAAATTTTCTCTTTGTGTATGTCTCCTCTACCGTCAATTAATAGTAGGCAACGCATCTACAATTACGGATGTTTATGGACAGAGGTCGC